TATTAGTCCCCACACAGTTAAACGCTATGTTTTTTTATTTGATTTGCATTTAGCAGATTATCTCCTATTCTATTTGTGTATACCTGTTGAAGACAAGAGGAAGTCTTTGGGGATTTACCTGGATACTTCACCTAAATCACAGGGAAGTCCTGGTTTGCTTCAAATTGTATATTTTCACTTGGGTTGTGTTCACATATATTGCTGTTTTAGTTATATATTTTAACCTACTTCATCAATTTTCTTTCTTAACAAATCTCTGCTTGTCCTTTTCCTAAATCGTATGATGTGTACAGACTGTTTTTAAGTTTTTATATGTAAGGTCAAACTGTATAAAATGATGCAAACAATAATAATTCAGGAAATGCACATTATCACTGAATTGTTTTCAAACTTACTAAAGTATCATGGCTAACAAGCAGGCCAAATAATGAAGGGAGTAGAGAAAGACACAATAAAAGAGTGACAAGTGGAAGGAATTAAAACATAGGCCTCCTCCACAGAACCATAAAGATAAGCAGAATATGTGAGCCAGGGACCTCAAACCCTATTAAAAGATGGCAAGGTATGGTAGAATATGGTGGTAAATGTATCCACAGGAAGATATTCTATAATTTTTCATGTACCTTTTCCTGAGAAGAGTAGTTTTCCTTTAGTCAATAACTATAAATTTGCCAATACAATTTTAAACAAACTCATTGTCTGCTCCAAATTCTTCTATCTTGAGGGAATGTAAACAGAACCATGAATGTACATATACGAGGTTATTGGAAGACTCACAGAGTGGGAGAAACTCCATTCCATATAAGAATTATACTATGGGCTATGGATAAATTGGTTGTTTACAAGTCAATCTGGTCACACTGGCTTTTAACTAGTAATACTGATTAGAGATGATTGTGACTCTCAAATACCTTGGGGAAGGGGGAGTGCTACAGATATTGCCCCTTTAATTAGCCCTGGGTGATCAACTCCTCCCCATCTTACCCCAACACTTTATTCTATGTTATTATTTTATTACATTTTTAATGCATCCTCATGACCATGACTTACCAGAGGCTTTACTATAACCAGTGAATCCATATGCACCTTCATTGGGATATGTGAATACCTGATTGATGTACCCACTAAAGTTTGTGGGAATCCCACTTCCGAGCTTAATGATGCATATTTCTTCACCTATATTTAATCTTTCTCTTCAGTAATGTTAAAGCACTCTCATTTTTTAATCCATGGCAAGAACTGGATATTTTTAAATCTACTTTTGAATTTGACATGAGAGCTTCCTATATTTCTTATTTGGGCATCAATCTGTGCAAGAATGTATCAAAGATGCATACGTATAATCTAGCCTGTCTGGCCCACTCTTAGGGAAGATGTTGAGAGGTGGTGTAGTCAGGAAATTTCTTGGCTTAATTAGATCAAAATAATTCTCATTCCCAATATTTTATATTTTCTAAGAGCAATCCCCTTAACCATTCCTTCTTATTTTTTTGGAAAGTTCATTCTACCCTTCTGACATTCGTATGGAATAAGAAACCAAGCAGAGTAAAATTGGCTATTCTACAAAAGTTTACAAATAGTGGATGTATGGATTTGCCAAACTTCAGTCATTATAGTCTGCGACTAATGCAGCTATGACCCTTAAATTTAACTTGGAACACCATCTATGGCTCAAGATGAAGGTGCCGAACATTTTACCTCATCTTATTAAAGACATTATATGGTTGCCTCTTACTCGACGTGGCAAACATGTTTCAAACTACCAAAGCCACCATTAAGGCTTGGGATGTAATATATAAAAAGATTAATCCTTTTGCTAAATGTGCAGTGCTACCTCCTTGCCGGTGTTGTAACTTACATTACCTAATCTGGACATGGAATATTGGCTTTCCCATTCTGTCATAATTATTAACTATTTGTTCTTGTCAAATTCTTTTTTTATCTTTTGACCAGCTTGAAACCAAATTTGGTCTGGACACCACTGTGGCCCCTGTACATAATCAAATTTTTATGTTTCTGATCGGGTCCTGGAAGAGCACAAAATGTCTACTTTAGAAAAGATTTATCTCTCAGATCCTGGTCAGAAACACACTATCTATATGTGCTATACATATTTTGCTGGGGAACTTGGTCCACAATTAGACTATATGACTAAGTGGGAAAGGGAGTTTAATGTGGAAGAATGGCATGGGCTTCTATTGGCACTACGGGTAATAATACAGTCTGTGGCACTTTTAGAATCTCATTATGAGCTTCTCTACAGATGGTACCTGACTCCCTCCAGGCTCTTTAACCCCTTAAGGACACATGACATGTGTGACGTGTCATGATTCCATTTTATTCCAGAAGTTTGGTCCTTATGGAGTTAAACTACATTTAACAAGGACTAATACATGTTGGAGTAAGTGCGGGCAAAAAGGCACACGTTTTCACATCTTTTGGTCCTGTTGTAAGCTAAGCATTTACTGGCGTAACATTCATTCACTAAAATAAACCATTACAGACCAGGTTCATAATATCGCACCAGAATTGTGTCTTCTGAAGAAACTCCCGGAAAATTTATCCAGATCTACAGAAATAATTTTTGGTCATCTATTAAATTAGCAAGGTATTCCTATTTTATCTAGTCTTTCTGGGATTAGGCACTTGGGGTATCAGGTTAGAACGAGAAAACATGCATTTGTTACACAGAGCTTGGAGAGAATCTCAATTATGCAGCCATTTCCTCTTGGTTCTCACCATGCCCTGAGGTGTTTTGCATTACTAGTTTCTTTAATTTTTATTTGATTTAATAATTTGTTTTTCTCCAGAAGCCAATCCTTTCAGTATCATCTTTCCAACCTGCACTGGTTTCCTTTCTGGCATCAAAATACAGCACATACATAATATTATCGTTTAGGTTGCTGTAAGTTATAGCTTAGCTGTTACATGTCTCCAATATGAAGCCGACAAACTAAAGTTCTATATGTCTATAGATCACAGCTTCCTGAATAATACCAGCAGTATTATAGAAATTAAAACAAGCATAATGATTGGTTATCATTCTCTGGTTTTTTGACACCTCACTCAAGAAGATTTAAAGCGATACTCCAAGCACCATGAACACGTCAGTGTTCAAAAATGTTCATGGTGCAAGAACCCTGCATGTGCAACATTTCAGTATGAAAGAGGCTTGTCACCCGGCGGTGGGCTAAAAGACAAACTGTTACAAAATGTTTGCTCCCTTAAAGAGGAATGGTGTCAGAGTAATCCTGGCATTATAGCCACTACAACAGGCTCAGAGTAAATCTTTATAAGGCCTGAGTTTTGCAGAAAATAAGGGGACTTTAATTTTTTTTGTATTATTTTTCTAATTATTTATTATATTTGCACATATTTTAATGCATTGTATTTTCATATTTGAAAAGAATCAAGTCAAGGCTGGAATGTCGCTTTAAAAGTTTACTATACGTCTTGATGGAATGGTGGTTATGCATAAAGTTTCATGCTCAATTTCACATCTACACTGGTTTTGTACACATGTGCCCTTTCCTAATTTATAAAACTGTTACGTCTCCCCTTTATTTATTGGTGTCATTTTTTTTCATCTTCTCTATACTCTGCTAAAATAATCCATCTCTCTGCCATTTTTTTATTCCTCATTTTGATACTTTTTTATTTTGTTCCTGATGATTGTGTCATTGATAAATAAATTACTTGTGCAAATTATGTTTGGCCAAATCGCTTCATCCAAAAATAAAATTTTGTTTGGATGGCACGATCTTCATCCATGAGGTAATTTAGCCACAGTAAATATATGAGGAAAAGACTAGGGAAAGCCAAACTGGTGAAAAAAGGATCGACTGTCTATTAGTGTGATGCAAGTCAATAACTAACACAAAATTGTCTTGCGGATATGCAATAGCAGGCATATGTGCAATGCCAATTCTGATTTGTCATATATTCATAATTATTTCTGTACATAAAAAAAATTAAGTGAGAGAACTTAGTTTGGCAATTATGATTGATTGCTTTTCCTTTTGCAGTATTGTATTGAAAAAATGGGGAGCAGCAGCAGTTAAGGGAATGTTTCAAAAAATAAAAAGTCAGTAGGCAATTGGCAACCTACTCATCCCTTCCAATTTGATAACACTGCTTTCCCACACATGCAGTCTGTAGCATGAGTTACACCAGAAAAAGTTACCAAACCACAAAAAATGCATATAAAGGCAAACCTACTAAAGAAAGTGTGCCCTCTAAAACACCAATATAGTAATAAAACAAAAGCCAAACAGTAGGAATGCAAAAATTAGTGAAACAATCACATCTAAGGTGTAAATAAAATATACAACCTGATTATATAACAGCGTGATGAAAAATATCTAGAAAAGATATATAAAAGACACAGAGTAATAAAAGTATTATAGTGTGAACACGCAAGGAAAATGTATTAAACTCACAAAATATGAGTGAATATCAGGCTCATCATCCTCAATCAGAAATGATCTTCTGAAGGATATGAAGTAGATCTTCTTTAGCACTTGCAAAATGAATAGAGAAAGCAAAAATAGTGCAGATGGAATAAAAATACAATGATTTATTATAAAAATGCACTTACAAAAATCCAAGTAATAGACAGCATATAATCCACTCTGAATTACTGGGGACTCTTTTGTTGCAATCTCCACTTCAGAGTATGTTGGAGGCTTCCAGTGAGGCCCCAGCAGACCTCGTGGGCCACCAGGGCCTTACATCCATCCCGTCCACTCCCTCCAGCCTGGGAACCTCACACATGGGGGACACTGAGGCAGCTTAGCCTGTGTCGCAGCTCCACGCTGATCTGCAGGCGATCCAACCCTCCCTGACCGCCACAATCCACACTGAACGGCATCCAGAGAGACAATGCGGCACTAGAGGAGAGGGTCGCCTCACTGGAAGCCTCCAACATACAATCTGAACACCTCCATGAGACTGCTGAACTGGCAACCACAAGGCAAGGCAACATGCTTCTTGACCTCAGGCGCCAGTTGGAAGATTTGGATAACAGGGGGCGCCGCAGTTACATCAGGATTCGCGGCCTACCTAAAATCCCCCAGAACGAACCCCTGGAAGCCACTCTGCAAGCCCTCTTCACTACCATAATGGACAACGACACGCTTGGTGAGGTCCAGCTAGACAGAGCACATAGAGCACTCCGTGCCCCCGCGTACTGAAGATGTCATATGCTGCATCCACTCATTCCAACAAAAGGAAAGGATAATGCTGAAAGCGAGAGACAGGCAGGTTTGGCATTTTCGGAATGCCTCTGTGAGCCTGTACCAGGAACTGTCGCCCATCATACTGGACGCCAGGAGGACCCTGTGTCACATAATTCTTGCGGGACCGCAGGATCAAATACAGGTGGGGGTACCCCTTCAGCCTCCAGGCGAGATCAGGGGATACTTGGGCCTTGATCAAGAACCTAAAGGATGTCCCGGAGTTCCTGCAGGCCCTGGGCCTTCCGCGCACCAAGGTGCAAAATTGGATACTACATCCCACTACTTTGCCACCAAGGGAGCGAAGATATGGCTCCCGCAGAATACCGACAGCGGGGTCCCCCCCCTAGGGAGACAGGCCAAGCAACTCGCAAAGATCGGAAGAGTGAGCCCGAGCTGAGTAGTATGGAGCTGGAGACCACCACCACAGGTGACTGGGGCTTGCACACCCTATTGGGAGGGAAACAGGAGACTTCGGTTGTGGGGACTGCCCAACGGGGTCTCTTAGATCTGCTGTCCAGACCTGGACATTCCCACAGGTGTCTTGGTGGCATTTCCAGTTGGGGGGGCATGGGACATACCCGGATGAGGAGACGCCATGGGGCTTTCTGCACACAGGCGGAGACCCATGCTGCCACGTTGGGGAGGGGGGATCGGGCTGCCAATTGCAGAGACCGATGGGTGGTTGGGCCAACGGGTGCGAGGTGGGACACTCACAGTGATCAGCAGCTCTCCACCCCTCTGGAGGACAGAGTTCCTTTGCACTCCCCGTATTTGCCAGGATTATTACTGCCTTACTTATCTTGGTTATTTTAATTAATTATTTTTTTATTTTTTTTTTAATGTATTTATTTATGTTATTTCCTTTTACTTTCTTCTTTTTCTTTCATTATTGTTGCCTCCTTGTTAGTGACAATGCTGGCTGTCACTCTGGCTGAACAAGCAAAACTTTTACACTGCATGTCTCTGTTGTTTGATGTTTTGCAATTTTTTTAGCTATCTCGTCCAATGATGGGTGAATGTACTTGGGAGGGGAGATGGGTTGCATATGATATGAGGGCGGGGGGCAGTAACATATCATAGGCATGTACTGGGGACGACAGACTGAGTGGGGGAAGGGTTGGTATGACCAGTCAACAGGTTGACTGCCTAGCAGCCCGTACTGACACCAAGTTCCCATATCATACCCCCACGAGTGCTTTCCCCCTATCTGCACTCTAACGCCCCCAGGCTCTGGTTCCCAAGTATCATAGCCTAACCCTGACGCCCCTGGGCATAGTCTTTATGAAGCCCTGCAGTATGTACGCTGGCATACGGCATAACCTTGTGGCTACGCCCAGGCGCTTCCGCAGCCCCCCGTAGGCTTTTCTCATCTATGTAACCTGATAGGGGATCCACCACTGGCACTGCCGATGATCCGACCGGCTCCTGAACATAAACAGCCCATGTAGCAGACACCCCCGAGGCCTGATCCTGCCCTTCCTGCCCCACCCCACAGTCAACAGCCTGATCGCGAGAGGTAGGCCACTCGACGGGCCGAACTAGGGGACAGAGCCTGCGAGGCAGTTAAGCCAGTGCATGGCGGCCTACCGTGGTGACCCACTTGAACACGCACAACTCACATAGCATTCTGGACCTGGAGAGCTGCCCGTGGTAATTGCCTAAGTATAGGGGCCATTCAAATGGAAGCGATGCTCTTTATATGTATATATATTTATTTATTTATTTTATTATTATTACTATTTTTTAGCACAGGAGGTGCGGGGCTGGCCTGGGGCTAATAGACGGGTCAGGAACCAGGACACCAAAATTCACAGTTCACTCGGGTTAAGGGTGACTGGGGTAGACAAGAGACAAACACCTTGCTCAGATAGCCTGAGTGACGTCCGTAGCCCTGGCCTTATGACTTACGGTGGGACACATCACCCACGTGGCATAACCATGCACTGACGTACTTGTCATTTCCTGCACAGGGATAGGTTTGGGACCGTAGTAATATAGGTGGACACCTTTTCCCTGAGCAGACACGTGTGGCATTGCTGGTATAAGTGGTGCACTTTGGGTATCCACTTTGCCAGCGTATTCTTCTATCCAAATCTCAGTGGGTAATAGGACCCTTTCATTTTCACTCTTTCTTTCCTCTCCTACCCCTCCCCTCCCTTTCTGTCTCTCATTTCCTTCCTTCCCACTTAATACACGTCTGACCCAGTGACAGCGCGCACCCTGGGGAATGGCGTCTCGCGCTTTCACTCCGAGCCTATTACATGTCCGAACCATTAAAGGACCACTATACTACGAGTATGTTTTCCTGGCACTATAGTGCCCTGAGGGTGCCCCCACCCTCAGGGACCCCATCCCGCCCGGCTCTGGAAGGGGGAAAGGGGTAAAAACTTACCTTTTTCCAGCGCTGGGCGGGGAGCTCTCCTCCTCCTCTCCTCCTTCTCTCCTCCCCGTCGGCTGAATGCGCACGCGCGGCAAGACAGCTGCTAGAGGAAATAGGGGAAATAGGGGAATAATGAGACAGCCGCTAGAGGAAATAGGGGAAGGCTTAACCTATTTATAAACATAGCAGTTTCTTTGAAACTGCTATGTTTATGAAAAAATGGGTTAACCCTAGCTGGACCTGGCACCCAGACCACTTCATTAAGCTGAAGTGGTCTGGGTGCCTAGAGTGGTCCTTTAATGCCAGAGAACTAATTGTACCCGAACGGTGCTCACACCTCCTTAGAAAGCTCTGGGCCTTCCGAACCTCAGTAGCGATGATTCAGAAATCACAATAAATTAAACTCAGAACCGATCCTTCGGGACCAACGTTAAACAAGTGGCTACTTTGCATCACACCCTCAAAGTAAGAAATCGGAAGTCACAATCCTTTTTCTCACACTACCCCTTTCACACTGACTGAGCAGAAGGCAGACCAGGATGGACGATACCTCTTCATGAAGGGTCGCGTTGCTTCCCGGCTCTACACCTTCGCCACCATATATGCTACCAATGTCCAGCAACATGTATTCCTGTCCTCCACTCTGCAGATGTTGGCGGGGTTCACCTAGGGGAGGTTGGTGCTAGGGGGGACCTTAATGTCCCCCTGGAGCCCACGTGGGACACCTTCGGATGGCTTTCCCACTCTTGAGACCCATGGAACGCATTTGGAGAATGAAAGGGGCTCTTCTGTTGGATGCCGAGGTGGAGCTGATGGTCCGGGAGTCTCTTCAACACTATTTTCAAGAAAATGCCATGCCGGAAACATCGGCGGTAACGGTCTGGGAAGCCCATAAGAAGTCCAGGGTACTTTCATCAAGCTAGGCACGGCACGGAAGAAGCAGAGATCAGACCAGTTGAACACAATCTTGGAGAAGATCATTAAGAGATGCGCCACAAGCAGTCTCAGACCGAAGCCGACCTCAGAGACCTGCTCGTAGTTAGGAAAGAACTCGTGACGATTATTACACAACAGGATTACACTGAGTTGCAGAAGTCCAAAGTTTTTTCCATGAACACTCAAATAAAAGTGGTCGTTTGCTTGCCCGTATGCTGAAGAAGAGACTGGATCGCTTCCATATCCACAAAATCTGCACAGGCCCGCATGCAGCTTCAGCCCACCCGTCTAATATAGCTATGTCCTTTCATAAATTTTACACATCCCTTTACAACATTGCGGTAGATCGGAGTCCCCAGGACGTTGCCTCAAGGGGTGACACAATCCAAAGCTATTTGGCCTTAAACGTCAACAAAAATTAAACGCTGACACAGCTACAAACTTGGAGTGGGAACTGACGATCGAGGAGCTGCAGGGAGCTATTAAAACGACAAAGACGGGGAGGGAGCCAGGCCAGGATGGGTTCCCACTACAGTACTGCAAAGACATGCTGCTCCCCCACCTCCTCACCTCTTTTAACTCACTGCTTTGGGAGGGCAGTTTGGGGATGGAATCCCTGGTGGCACACAAAAGAAGGTAAAGAACCTGAACAGTGTGCTAGCTATCGACCTATCTCCTTACTGAATTGTGATATTAAACTATTAGCCAAAATTCTGGCGTTGCGCATGAAGGAAATACTCCCAGGTCTGGTACACGCCCTGGGAGAGAGATAACAACATCTGTCTACTAAACATACTTCACCTGGCTAAGGAGTCATGCCATCCCATGGTCCTCCTATTCACGGATGCAGAGAAAACATTCGACCTGGTGGACTGGCAATTCATGTTACTCACACAAAAAGCATTGGGAGGTGTTTTGCAAATGAATACGGGTACTGTATACCACCCCAACAGCTAGAGTGCGCATCAACTGGGGACTTTCGCCCTCCATATGGATAACAAATTGGACCCGCCAGGGATGCCCGCTCTCGCCTCTCCTCTTTGTGTTGACTCTGGAACCTCTTTCGGAGGCTGTTCCGACGAAGTCGATCAATCACTGGATTTACATACGTGGGCACTAAACACAAGATCTTGGCCTATGTGGATGACCTCTACGTGGAACGGCCGCTGACTTCATTCCCTAATATCCTTCAAGAGTTCTGGAAATATGGCGAATTGAGCAATTTTAAACTCAACTTAGACAAATCCGAAGCTTTAAATATCTCGAAATCGGAAGCTCCTGATCTCAAATTACCGCTTTCGATAGTGCACAGATCAGCTGCTATACCTGGGGATCTGGATACCACGTGACCTACACCAGTTGTACCAATTTAACTTTCAACCGCTCCTTTACCCTACTTCTCCTGGACCAGACGAATAAACTCGATAAAGATGAATGTCCTCCCCAGGACCCACTACCTCTTTCAGAACATACCCCTGATTTTGCCGGTCACTTTCTTTAACCCCTTAAGGACCAAACTTCTGGAATAAAAGGGAATCATGACATGTCACACATGTTATGTGTCCTTAAGGGGTTAAATCTCTAAACGCAGCTGTGGTGCAGTACATTTGGAGGGGCCACAGACCCAGACTTCGTATGTTGCAACTGATGAGATCTAAACTCGATGG